AAAAAGAAAAAAAAAAAAAAAAAAAAAAAAAAAAAAAAAAAGACAAAATCGTCAACTACTTCGTACATGCTCAACAATTAGTTGGCTTGCTTGCATTTCGTATATCTTTTACGATTTACTGTACTCTACTTTCCTGAGGTCAAGTTGGAAGCATGATTTAAACTGGGGGGGGGGGGTTTCGTGATGCACGATAATTTGCCGAATTTGAATGCAACTGTGGGAAAGCATTCGGCTAACTTTTCTCCGCACAACACAAGTTACTACGATAGTCTCCATGAGGATTGGGCAAGATTACTGTACTGTACTGTACTGTATTTTCCTCAATGGGAACCTGGTTTCAAGCCACTTGTCGGCCTTGATTCAGCAGTTTCTCTCGGAAACAAAAGATCCTGATTTTCGAGATTGTTATCCATTTATTTTATTTTTTTCGAGTTGCTCCTCTTTGTCGACCGTGTTGCTTTTCTGAAAAACTTACAAGCTCTAGAATCATTCGGCTGACGGGAAAAATTAAGGAACGTTCCTTGAGGCGGGCGCCCTCTGCAGTCTTAAATGCGCTGCTGTTAGGCTCGTACTCGTTGCTTGCTCTTTTATCTCTTGATTATTATTTATATATCGATTGTATCTATATTTTTGTTCCTCTGTGAAATTTGTCGCTCGAACCGTAACCCCAGGGGTTTTGTTTGTTTGTTTTTGTTTATTCGTTGCTGGGAAATTCAGAGCCGATCCGTAGTAGCTGGCGGGAGGACGGTGTGAGCGGGGCCAAGCGCCAGACGCTGCCGCATCCCCAAGCCCACCACCACCACCACCACCAGCACAGCCAACAACAACAACAACGACAATACCTTCACTCTTCGTCTTCTTCTTCTTCTTCTTACTCCTCGTCGAGTAATTCAGGTGACGCCTCGTCGGGCAGTGGCGGGAAGCAGAAAGTGCGACGAATTGTGGATTTTCTCAAGTCCTCGTCGCCGGCCGCCACTTTGGCCCATGTGTCCTCGTTGTCGGCCGAGGACAACCAGATGCGCGGCGTCAACAAGCGCATGCAGCGACTCGTCGAGGAGACACTCACCAAGAACATGCACCTGCAGCAGAACCTGGAAGACCTGTCCAACGAGGTGCTTGTGTTGCGGACCCAGTTGACTTCAGCCACGGCAGCTGCGCATGTCTTGAGTAAGCAGTAGCAGTAGCAGCTACAGCTACAGCTACAACAGCAACAGGATGTGAATCTCCTCTTTTCTACCATCATCATCATCATCTTCTTCTTCTTCTTTATCGTCCGTCTGAGGGTGTCGATGATGCTTGTGCAAGTTTTACAAAGGAAAGAAGGAGAAGAAGAAGAAGACGAAACCCTCTGTCGAACCTTTTTCTATCTTATGATTGATTGAGAAATATGTTCTGCTGAATTTTTGTGTGTGTGTGTGTGTGATTTTTTGTTTGAATCGTCATTACGTATCATTACTTTTTTTTATAATAGGAGCATTCTAGTCTGCACATTGATTGGAATCGTTGACATTTTCGACGATTGATGAAAGTGTGATGAAAGAAAGAGATTGTGATGCCTTGAATGGAATGTGCACTTCCCTGGATTCCAAAGTGCATCACTGTGCTGTACTGTACTTTGTTTGCTTGAATTTTGCCGAGACTGACGAGGATTCAAGAAGAGGCCGCCAGAGACGAAAAATTTTAAACACGTCGTCGCATTTGGTTTATTTATTTATTTTTTTTTATTTTTGCGGATGGGTGTAAAGAAGGAGATGCGCAATCAGTCTGAAAAAAGGCGGGGCTCATCGTGTGTGTTGCAGTTGTTTCGTCGATTATGATGCAGGTCGTGATGATGGTGTCTGTCTTAAAGGAGTGCGATTGAAAGGTGTGTGTGTGGATGTGTGGCGGGACACGTAGGTAGGTGGAGCGATGACGGACTTGCCCGACTGGCTGGTGGAGAGAGCGGAAGCCGAACTGTTTGAGAAGCCGTCGTGGCGGAGTCGCGATGTGGAGGCCCTACGTGAAATGCTCAAGGGTGAGTAGTGGTAGTAGGAAGAGGAGGAGGAGGAGGATGTGTGTTGTTGTTGTTGTTGTTGTTGTTTCTTTTTTAATTTCAACATTTTTCATGTACAGTATTTATTTACAGTCCATGCTTGTCTGTCTATGTTTCCTGCGACTGTAGATGAACCCGGCCTGGATGCGCAGGTCGAAGACAAGTTCCTCGTCAAGTTCCTGAGGGCCAGGAAGTTCGACTATGACCGGGCCTTCGCACTCGTGCGTCACTTTTACTCGCTGCGGGCCGAGCACCGGGCCATGTTCGACTTTGAACAGGGCTTTAGGCCGTCTTCCCGGGTCGTCGAGCTGGCCACGAAAAAGCTCAACTTGTTCGAAGTTCTGCCGGCATCGACGACGACGACGACGACGGCCGGCGCCATCAGAGGAGGAGGAGGAGGAGGAGGCGATGGCTGTGATATTCTCATTTGCAGGATCGGTGGGTTCAAGGGAAGAGAAAAAAAGAAAAAGGAAAATATTGCATTCGGTATTTGAGGGAATGTGGGTACTGTACCAGTGTGGCAAATTCAAAGGAAGTTGAAAACTCTCTAGTGCACCTAATAAGAAGAAGAATTTGTGGGAGAAAATGTCCTGCTCTGATTCCGAGACGATGAAAACGAGGGGGGAAATGTGCCTTTTGTATAGAGTTGGACTAATGGTAATCAGGTGCTTTCTTTCATCTCTCTTCCCTCCTTTCTTTTTTTTTTTCAATGGTCCAGGGAATTGGGACCCGCAAGAACTGAGCGTGGACGACCTGCTGTTGGCGACGCTGGTCATCTTGGAGTACTTGTCGGAGAACTGCGTGACCCAGGTTGCCGGCGTGGCTGCCATCATCGACTGCAGACCGTCTTTGGGAGAGCTGGAAGACGGGGATTCGTCTTCTCATGCATCAGGAGGTGTTAGTGGTTCTGGTAGTTGCATGTCCTGGGCCAGGCTGGCGAAGCAGGTTGGTTGATGGATTTTGCCTCGTTTATCCATCCATCCATCCATCTGGCCATGTTCAGTACTGTACAGTTTTTTTTAAATGCAAAATACATATTTTTCCGTGTTTTCCGTCCTTGTCTCGTAGATCACTCCGGCGCAGGCCAAGAAATTCGTGGCCTTTGTCCAGGACCACGTGCCGTTGCGATGCAAGGGGATTCACATTGTGGGCCAGCCCTTGTTCTTCTCGCTCGTCTTCAACTTGTTCCGGCCGTTCTTGTCGGACAAGAACTTTTCTAGAGTATGTATGGCATTTTTGTTTTCTTCTTCTTCTTTTCGGGAGCGAGTGGTCGGACAGTCAGTTGGTCTGCATAGTTTGTGTCGTTGAATAAGACGGAAGGAAATTCTGACCTTCTCAATGTGAAGTACAGTATAGGAGGAAAGCTGTGACGGTCTGACAAGACATGTTCAAGACAAGGATTTATCAAGGAATGAAGGTTTAAAAATGTATTTGAGTAGCGTGTCGATGCTTGATTGATTGATTGATTGGATTTCGCTGGACGACAGCAAAAAAGAAAAAAAAAGGAAATGGAAATGCTTGTTTTTCTCCCCGGAATTGCTGGTTGATTCGTGGATGTTTGGTGTTGACCATCAGACATCTGCTTCCTAATTCCACCAAGCCGTGTACATTCTTTATAATTTACTGTAACTACAGTATTCATTGTACGAAAGAAAGATAAGGAAAGGAAAGGAAAGGGCGACTGACTGACTGACTGACTGACTGACTGAAACAATGAATGTCAATGCTCGAGTTTGACTCGTACAATACTTAAATAAACAGGTGCATCTGCACGGCGAGGACATGAGGGGCATGCATTCCTTCCTCGAGCCCGATGGCCTGCCTGCCGAGTACGGCGGGAACCAGGGCAAACTCATGGACGGCGATTCGGGTGGAGCCAGGTTGTTTGCAGCCATGCAGGCGACGGAGGCCCACTTTGCGGGTATCGTGTACATTTTTCGTGTCTATTCATGCATGTACAGTACAGTATTTCCATCATTCCCTCTTTTTTTTTTCTTTTTTTTTCTTTTTGCTGTGTGGATTTGTTGCAGAATTGACGAAACATGGGTATCTTCTTGGACAAGTGCCGGCTGTGGGCTGCGGGGAGACGAATGTGGCCAGGTTCATTTCTGGTTACTTTTGTCTGCGCTGAAAAGTAGGAAGAAGAAGAAGAAGAGGAGGAGGAAGAAGAAGTTACTTGCTGTCTCTATATCTCTCTCCTCCCTCCTCGTTTTCTCTTATTTGTTTTGTTTGTTGGGGCGGGGGTTTGTTTGTTTCTATTTATTCTATGCTTCTGCCAACTGCCCGTCCCAAACACAAATATTATTGATGAAGGTGATTCCGAGAATTGCAGCTGCATTTGTCGTGGGTTGCGTGGAAAAAGCTGTGCCAAAATATTCCGAAAGTCTCGTTGGAAGGAAGAAAGGAAAAAGTGATGCTGGACATTGATTGATTGATCGATTACCTTCCATTTTCCCGCCACATTTCATGCCATTGTGTGTAATTTGATCAATTGATACAAGGAAGATGTAGAAAGGAAAAAGGTATGAACGGATGAATGAACAAGACAAAAGTGATTTGTTTTTTTTTCAATTTTGAATCTTTCATCTTCCATTTCTTTGATTCCATCATCACACGCAGTCAGTCAATTGATCATGGGCAATAATGATGAAGTATATGATTCTGTATGTTCCCCATGCACAGAAAAACCCACCCATCTTCACTTCTTTGCATTCAAGTAGCCCGTCATAAATTATTAAATGTCGCTGAAATTATGCACGAAACAGAAGTTAAGTAATGGAAACAAAAATATGAAGGCCCTACAGTATTATACTCGTAGAGCCTAATCTAGCGTTACATTTTCCCGATATGCGAAGTGCGACACCTACCACAAAAATGCAAAACTATACATGTAAGTAGTTGCATAGATGTCACGATTCTTCAACGTACGCGACTGTGTGCCCGTGCATTTTGGCCGAAATTTTCTCGAGCAAGACGTTCATAAACCCCGGACGCGCAGGCCCAACGCTTCACCTCCTTGCCGACGTTTCACCGCGCCTTGCCGAAAACCGGTTTTTTGAAAACAGGATTTTGGATATGGGTCTGGGTTTGTGCTGAATGTGTGTAAATGGCACTCGTCCATCATTCGTTGATTACTCGCGGCGGATGTACAGTATATTGTGCATCAAATCGAATTCCAATAACTTGAGAAAATGCCATAGTCTTGAAATACCAAGCAGCAAATGCTAAGCGCAGTAATTCGAAACTCTTCTGTAACCCTGCAGAATAAGCATGTGTAAAATACGTAAAAAGTACGAGATGAGATGAAGTGCGTTCTTCCGATTTGCAGAACCAGCAATAACGAAAAAGTCGAAGGAACGAAAACATTCCTGATGCATACTACTGCATCAGAGCAACGTGCGACACCTACCAAAAAATCGAAAACCCTACATGCAAGTACTGTAGATGCATTGATGCCACGACGATACAATACTTCAATGTTGCGGCTATGTGCCCGTCCGTGCATTTTGCCCGAAATTTTCTCGAGTAAGACGTTCATAAACCCCGTCGGAAACGCTCGGGCGAAGTGCTCCTCACTTCCGCAGGGATCATCCGTTACACGCGGTATATGTTGGTTGTGAGAAACATGCCTATATACTTTGTGTGCTTGTGAAATCAGTGATCAGTAATTCAGTTTTTTCTTGATCATTTGAAAGATTATTTCCTGGTTCTGTTCTCTTCAGCACCACGTCTAAGTCCACGAACTTGTGATTTTGCTTTCTTTGTCTCGCCCGAATTGAATTGTGTTCTTACATGACTAGTGCATATCCTGAAATTTAACACACAGCATACAAAAAACGGCGATACCGTCATCACTTGTGCATCATGTGCCGTCAAGAAGCGTTTTTGTTTACCTGCATGCTTTAATATGGATTAAAGTGTTCGCGAGATACTTTTGCAATAAGGAAAGCCTGCTTTGTACAGTATATACCAAACCTTTATGCATGGACATATATCATTACGGTAAACTTCTTCCAGATGAAATCGAAACGCTTCGTGTGGACTTGACGAAAGAACAAGAAAGTTGGGTGTTGAGATGAGCAAACCCAGAATTTTGGCAGCTTATTCTGTTTGATATGGGAATATTGCTGAATAATCCTCTTGGTACGTCTTCCTAAATTTTTAGAGAGAAATAAAGAACCGGTCGATGTTATTGAGTGATGATCGATGCGTGGCTTTGGGAAAGTTGACCGAGTTGTTGCCGCAAAAATAGCGAAACTTTTTCCGAGTGTGATGCGAATTCTTGGTTGTAATAACCCAGGAATGAAGACTCTTGAAGGAACCAACCAACACTTACTTATCTGGTCGGCACTTGTGATGCAAAGTGAGCATTTTTTCTTAAATTTTGTGTGTTACTAGACTGAATGGGACCCCGACCACCTTGGTGGAGTCCAGCATGCAGTTGTTGGCAGGCAACACTTTGCCATCTGCACCAAATGTCAGGAAACTGCTGCCTTCGTGGAAGGAGAAACTTTTGAATAGGAAATTCAGAAATTGCTCGTCACCGGAGATACGAGTTGAAAAGGCGCTTTCCCTTCGGTAAGTTTATCATTCATTATTGAAGGGGTGAATTAACTGCTATGATTCCGAGGCAAGATGTATTGGTTTTTTCTCTGCTGCTTTCTGGAGTCTCAAATAGGTGTTGCCTGAATCACTCACTATATAGCCTGGCCTGGTTAGAATAAATCTAAAACGAATTATGTACACGGGTGACATCTATTCAATTGCAATGATGCAAATCACTGTGACTTTCTGAGTGACTCTGCAATGGAAGAAGGAAAACATTATTCAATCGATTTTTTACTTTTTTTATGATGATGTACTCGCTGTGTTAAAATGTACTTGACAATTTTAGCGAGAAAATCCCCTTTGAAGTTAGGTTTGCTGACTGTTGTCAAATAATTTACGCAATTGTTAATGAAGAAGAAGATTGATTGTTTCTTGGAAGATTAAATGGGTCAGTGCTTATTTGGAGAGGCATCTACCCGCCGTGAAACCCTTTCACATCTCTACATGGACAGAGAATTGATCTTTCAAAATGTGGATTTCTTTTAATGGCTTTTAATTTGTTTGTGGATTTTTTGTTGTGTGTGCATAAATTGATGAACGTTAAAGCTTGTATATTGCTGTTGAAATTTGTTCTTCTCGTCTATTTATTCAAGAGCTATCCGTATACTGAACCAGGGCAAACCGAGGACGACGTGACGTGGTCTTGCTGGACACCGACAGAGGCGTTAATCTGTTTTCCGGCGACTGCAGTTTCCGAAGACTATAATATGTCTCTTACAGCATGGCGACTTTGAAGAAGATTCGCGATTGGATTTGAATCGAACCGGCGGAGGTGATTGATTTACCCGCGGGTCACGGGCCGCGGTTGTTGACCAATAACAGGGCCTGCGACAAAATCCGGATGTGTGGCATCAGCTATCAAGCACCCGCAGGAGCAAAACGAGAAGAACAACAATATGTAACTTGACGTTTTGACGATAAGCAGAGTGATTCCGGGTCTGCTTCGTTTATTGATGCCGAGGACGACGTTTAATAAGTGCTGGTGAGCTCCTTTTTTTTTCATTTGGTCATTGATGTTTTTATTTGGTCTGTACTGTATTCAACTGACTGATGAAGTTTGTGAGAAAGATTCTTACTGTGCTCATGATTTGTAAATAACGATTGCCGATGAAGGGATTAATTGTGAGATGAAATAGCGACTTTTTCAACGTTTTTTTTTTCAGAGTGAAGTTGCGAAGGTTTTACCCTCATGTGATTATTAATGAAAGTTCGAAGGCATTTTACTGATTTTCGCGTATAAAGTCATTATTGGGAATGATTGTTGATTAATTCATGCGTGTATGTGAAATTTTTGCATCGAAAAGTTATCTTTTACATAAGGGACTTAGTAGATACTGCCCCTAAATAAACTGAATAAATTAGTTTAATTTACCTCTACCTTTCAATGTTGAGGAGTGTTCGCTGATGTTGATTTTTTTTTAGGCAATAAATGACTCATTCAGTCAGAATAAATAGAGGGCAATTTTTATCGTTTTAACGCTCAGTGTCGCATATTTTTAAAACTTTGTTTTCAATTTTTCGTGATGCAAAATTTGATTCCATAAGGATTTTTTTTGAAGTGCCTGGAAGATTTCATGATACCTGCTGCTGCAGCGGAAAACGTGACAGTGCTGCAGCTGAGAAAAAATTGAAAGCTGAAGGAAAAGTGCAGCAAGAACGGAGACAGTGACAAGTGGAAAACTCGGTATAGTGAGTTTTTATGTGTACATTACGAGCATTTTTTATTTATTTATATTTTCCAAGATGCTGTTTTTGTGTCAGTATTAATTATTCCGAGTGTTGCCTTTCCCATTAACGTTAAGGACGAGCTGAACAAGCACAAGCTGAACCACGCTTTTGCATCAAACAAAAACAACGCCTACAACAAAAGCAGTGGGCCTAAAAAAAAGACAACCAGTCCGAACAGAGACCTGTTTGAAAAAAAAAAGACGCAGGATTTAAAATTGTGCGAAGAAGTATCTTAAAGAGGCTTTCCCCCGAGTTAATTATGCTGATTCACCGTAGTTTTGAATTACAGTTCAGTAGTATTTGCAAAAATTTGGCATAAAATTGTTTTAATTTTTTTGGTGATTCAACATTTTCTTAGTTGTACAAGTGCTGCCCGATTCTTCGGATTTTTCTTACTGGGAAGAAGAATTCGTTGCATGCCTTGAAATAATTATAACTAATAAGGATTACATTTTCAGTCTTTTCCTGTAAGTTTTTCAGTTTGTTTTTTATTATTGTGCGTATTAGTTTCCTTTTATTGATGGGAAATGGCTTCTTAGATTTTTCATTTGCAACATTTTTGCAGATATATTTTTCAGCGTCTTGATTTTAGTTTTTCAAAATACTGTCTTTTTTAATTTTCGAAAAAAATACTTGGTGCTTCGCGCTTTTATTCTTGTTTGAAATTGCGCGAACCGATCATTTATGGTTGAATGATTGAGTCATTGTGGGAATTATAATTGAGCGAGGGAGGGGGGGGGGGGGTTGTCAATTTTGTTTTCGCGTTTGTCTCAGTTCGGGGGATTCATTTTTGATGGTTGGAACTTCGTAGATTCCTGGAAAATATTTCTTGGTACAGTACATTAAAATGTGTTTGTTTGGGGGGGGGGGGGGGGGGGGGGGGGGGGGAGTTGTCAATTTTGTTTTTTCGCGTTTGTCTCAGTTCGGGGGATTCATTTTTGATGGTTGGAACTTCGTAGATTCCTGGAAAATATTTCTTGGCACAGTACATTAAAATGTGTTTGTTTTCCGATTCAATTGTTCTATTTCTCAATTCATCAATATCAGAAATATTTAGATTCTTGATGAATAACTGGACAGCATAATTTAAAGTTATGCTGTTGAAAAGGGAACAAAAAAGCAGGTCGAAAAAAATTCTATCAGTTTTCTATTTTTTATACAGACTAAAAACTATATGTATTTAATTTATAAAATCATCTGAAATTGCGTTTTTCTATCAAAAAAGCAAGTTGAAAAAAAATTCTATCAGTTTCCTGTTTTTTTTTTCTTAATACAGCCTAAAGCTATATATTTATCTGAGTTAAATTTTGCCCGTTATATTCACCAGGAAGAGAAAAGTTCAACTATCAAAAATGAATTCCCCGATTTTTGGGAGAAGCGGCTTCGCGATGAAATTGTTTTTTTATGGGGACGTAACTCGAATTTTTTAGTGTTGGACTTAGGGCGTTTTTTTAATGATTTTTCGCCGAAAATTGGAAAAAAAGAATGAAGAAGCGAATTTTTAAAAAAAATTTAATAATTTTATTTATATTTTGAAAATTTTATTGTAATTTTCAATCAATTTTTTTTAGTAGAATAATTTTTATTTTTCAATCATGGGAAATTTTCTTTCATTATTATTGTCATCTGGATTTAGTCAGATGGTCAGTTTACAATTTCGGACACAGGTGTCACTTCTCGAATGGCGTAATAATTTGAACCATGTGTTTTATCGATAGCGTTTCTTTATTTTCAGTGCCAGCAGTTAACATAATATTTCATAATTTTACATCACACACTGATTGAAAGCCATGACATTCAATGAATATAAGACCAATGATCAAACAGCACAGAAGATAGTGTCAAAATCACGTAGTTTTCTCCAGAGTTTTCCTCCAATGAATTTCTTGCATCCTGGACGAAGATTTCTGCAGAAGTTGGTCCATGTGCTTCAGGTCCAATTTTGGTTTCATCCAATTCATGCATGGTCCCCTGGTGTTGCACAATGCCGACGTAGTGGTAAGGCGTTGGTTCCGTGGTTGAGATTCGGATTTCGCCTGCATTTCCATCAGTTCCTTGTAATCCTTGAGCGAAGTACCACGGGCTTCCGGGGTTTGGTCCTTGATGGTTGCAGTCATCCTGGAACTTGGCGAGAATGGCTTCACTTGGCAATTGAATCTGTTCGAGTGGGAAAAGTAAACGAACAGCTGATTCAGAAACCTGTAGTCAGGAATCATTATAGATGGCAGCAGGGGTTCATGAGTGAGAAAGCTAAAGTCGAAAATTGCCTTCATTGACAAATATCGGATATCTTGCTCTTCACCAAACAATTAACTAGTGCTAATTCGAAGGAATGTAAAACGTGTAGGAAATCGACGAGTGAGCTAACCAAATCTCAAATTACGTTCGTTCGGTATCGGAAATCTTGTTAGACGTGACACGTGCAAAGCAAAAATTGGTGCATTTGATATGGTTAATATTACGATAAAATATGCATCACAGAGCCACAACAACGTTTTCAGTGTGAATTGCAGAAATTCAGATTCTTTCGTTACACTGTACATCGATCACCACCTTCGGGGATTTGTAAATTCCAAGAGACGAAAAACGAGAGATTCTAAGAAAATTAAGTACCTCAAACCTTATTCACACACCATCACTATGCCACAGCTACCTAGTAACGTTAGCCAGGCGAGCGTAAGCCCTTTAAGAGGAACTGCTTCATTTAGAGAAAGCCGAGGAGTGAAAGAGAACAGGACTTTTAAAGGTCACTTGTACATATTTATGCGAGTTATTTACATACTCATTGCAAGATGCGACTCACAGTGGCTTGAATGCTTTTTCGGAAACAGCAAGAGAAACGCGTAAATGTTGGTTGGTTCGGAGATGGGTCTCGAAGATGCGATCCACGTCGAAATCCGGAAAATCCACCATCATGAAATTTTCAGGCACTCCAGGTTCTTTCAAGAACTTGTTGATCACAGGCGGATTGTCTTCCATCGGCATACAATGACAATCACCCATTATTGTGATTTAAAAGTTTTACTTAAATTCAAATTAAAACCGTGGACGAAATGGCTTTCTCCTGTGAATAAGATGAATGACGGCGGGATGAATAAATGACCTCTTGAAAAATATTACGAATACCAAGAAGGGATTGCGCAAAATTCTATTTATTGTTTAACACGCCACTCGTATGAGAAAGGACTCCATTAGAAGTTGGCAAACTCTTCCAGATAAGCTTCGTAAGACAGGTCTTCCATTCATTCATTTGCATTTAGTTCTTCTATCCGACAATCGTCTATAGGAATTGAAATTTGATTTAAAATTGAGAATAATTATCCTTGACACCATCACTCGCAACATATATCATTTTCCGCACGCGGAGAAAATCTAATATCCGATGCTTCCTCGGTCTTTCTTCGTGAGAACTCGATATGACCATTTTAAATTTGCGCATCCCTTGAAACAATCACGTATTTTTCAAATATAGTCGATATAATTGGGCATTGATGAAATTTAATAGAATAATACTGAGCGACTCGAATTCGCCCCCTCAAGAGGAAGAACTATATCGCCGCCGAAGTTACTTCCGGTAACTTGGAATTGCCACGAAAATCTATCATAACCGAGGATTACCGTGATATTCGTGACCTTGACCCGTATGCATTTAGCAAGGGATAATTACTATGCAGTCGGAACGATTCCTTATAAACATTACCTAATTGTTATGGAAATTCGACTTAAAATCGCTGCAGGATTGTGGAAGAAACCATTTTCGCGGAGAAACGCTACGTTCTTTCGAAATGACGACTTCTATACAAGTAGAGTACGACTTGAAAGCTTTATGTACTGCACCGTACAAACGAATGCATGATCAGCACAAAGCGAAACTTGGGAATCTACTGAGCAAACTTCGATAACCGACTCAACACATCAGGAAATTTACTAGAGGAAAAGTTAATAGTCGAATGATTGTAAAGTAATTGGATCTGATGACTCTTACGGACATGACTTGCAAGGACATCCACGATAATTAAGACTCCGTCTACGAAAAAAATCACCCAAGAATACTAACAAGACACTCGCACAAGAAATTCGCGCATAGCGATCCACCGAAGCACTGAGCAAAGTCCACTGACTAGCTCGCCTTTTTAAAACATTCATGAGCCACCAGCATCAGGTCGTGAGATCTGCTGCTAATATCCACACCCTCGTACCGATCGTCCGGTTTCTATATGTGTGCAAAACTCGTTCTGCACGAGGTCGACGAGCGATAAGAAAGGAATCAGGAATATTAACGGAAACTTATCTGGTCGGGAATGAAATGCGCACTCGCTTCCAGGTTTTTGTCACGATAGCAGTGGAAACAGGTTCTGATACAATTTCACGAAATTGCGCCACGAGTATATATAAAAGCGAATAATTAAATTTACAGACGAATTGAAAAACATGAGGCAATAATTCATAGTACTGCAGCTACTATGGCTCATCCGCTATAACGATGAATTCGATCTTTCCTTCAGACATTAATACAGTATATCCGTTCTCGAATTGTTCGTACAGTATAGGAGTTCTAAAATACTCACGGATTAAATTTGCTTCGCAAGTTATGGCGTTCGTAGCAGCCATTTTGTCGAGATTCGGCGAGATATTGCTTCGCACTCGATCGGAACCAGTTCAGCAAGCTTCAATGGAAACACGAGGAAAAGGACCAGAAAATTCTAGAACTACTTTAATTTCAGTAATAAATGATGCAATTGCAGTATCTATTAAAACATCATATCATACAGACATGCATGGACACATTTCATCAAACAAAAGCAAGAAACATTAAATGACCATCGTCTTATTGTTTATATTACATTATTCTGAGGTTTTCAGGAGGAAAAAATTGCTTAATGGCCTTGCTGTGCAGACGCCAAAATTTGTAGCTTTTCAGATGATATCCCGAAGTTTTCCTTTTTTTTCAGAATTCCCACAGGCTGGTCATTCCGGAAATAACACCACAAAGAAACCGGAAATACAGAGAAAAAAAACATTTAAATTACTCCTTCCATCGTTGAAGAATTAATGTCATTGCCTTTCAACTGTTTCTTCTACTTCTTTGATGTATGTATACCAACAACAGCACATATTCCAAATCTGTGCTATACATAAAATCGTCTGCTTCTGGAACCTCAGCAACTTTTATTGCAGACCATATGCCAATTTTCTTGCTGGTTTACAGGCGCATAAAACATTGTGCAGCAAGGATCCATCTGATATAGCAGAGCACAGGGTTTTATGCTATGTACATGTTTTGCCTTTTTTCCAGTGCCCCAGAATCATGGCAATGGTGCTATTCTATATAGAAAGCATCAGTTCCAACAAGCCTAGAAGCAATTTTATTTCCAGAATGCAGATATACGCTATCTTTCCATCATTTTTTTTTTGTAAACTGGAAAACTGCTGCTCCTTTTTTTAAAAGTAGGAATACATATACAGCATGTAAAGAAGAAATAGTCAAGGAAGTTTTTTTTAATGTCTCACTGGATCTGGTGCAAGGAGGAAAAAAATAAAAGAAAAGAAAGAACCAGACATAAATGGAGAGGGGAAAAAAAGAAATAAAGAAGAAAGTAACCAGAAGAAGGGGGTTGTATATTTCAGTACTTGCCAGCAGCAGAGAAGCAGAATTTGCAGTTTGATCACGACACCCGGGGGTTTTACGACCCCTCGGCTGTATAGAAAGCATGGGGGTATCAGATCCCCTTGTATATATAATATATATATATATATATATATATTTATATATATGCAGACAACGCCTACCACCTTGTCGAAGTCCCTTAAAACACTTTTAACCCTGAACGCAAGGTGAAAGAAGGTAAATTTTTACAAGAAAAGACGGGGCGGATATGAAATTTTCAAGCTGGGTTTCTGATGCTGGACTTTATCAGCTGCAGTAAATTCCATTTTCAACCCCCACACATGTTCTCTACAACAGCTCTGATCCTCAATTCATCAAAAAGAGGGAAACTTATTGTTCCATCATTCAACTGAATGATGATCAGACAAGTATATGAAGCAGAAAAACAGGCTTCCATATCACTTGTTATATCAAAGATTGCTAGTCTTTTCACCCTCATATCCAATAAAAAAAAAACCATCTCCTGCACAGCAAAGAGTATGATGCCAAAAAAAAACAGGGACATCCCAAAGTTTACTTTTGGTCTCCAGTGTTAAAGTTCCATTCAGAAGACCACACACACAAAAAAAAGAACCTTTACATATAGGAAGTAATAAGACCCTGTTGTGGGAAGAGAAGTTTCCATTGCATCACCAGCACAGAATACACTAGGGGGACAGCACAGCAGAATAAGATGGAATAAGGCAGCAGAAAAGAAAAAAAAGGTACATAATGAAACTGGATATCCCCCTGCAATGCGGCTGCTGCCACAACAACAACAACAGCAGCAGCAGCAGCAGCAACAACAACATACAATAAGGAGACAAGAGCATCAGCAGCAGCAACATGATGACTATGAAAGGAGGCTGTTGCCTCTTAGCACCCCCCCTCCCCCTCTCATGATGTAATGGATACTGAGTGCATCCATTTGTGCTTCTTTGTGGTGGTGGTGGTGACTTACTCTCTCTCTCTCTCTCTCTCCCTTCCCTTGGGTATGTGAGACACAGACTCAGACAGAGACAGCATGTCCTGCTATATATACTTTATAAGGTATGCTCCATCAATGAATGCCCCTGGTATTTACTCAAGATTTCCCCCCTGCTGACTTTTGATAACCAGCAATCATTTCCAAAAAGTTGCAACTGGAGAAAAAGATGAAAAGAATAACAGGGAGAACACAAGGGGAAAAAATGAAAACACCTTGGAATATCCCATTGATTTATGGAAATGAAACAGGAATGCACGAGAAAAGGCTAAAGGCAGATGATTTCATTTCTGAGTGCGGGAAGCATAATTAGGATATAAAGAAATCTTGGAATGTTCTATTCCCCTTTCCACTTTCCTTCAACTTGGTCACTATTTGGAGGCTGGCTATGATTCCCTTGAACCCCATTGAGACCCAGCATTTATTAGAGACCAGCAGGTTGCATTATAAAGGTATAAATACAGTACCAAAACTTAATTTTTGTAATGCTACAGCAGTGCTATACACACTTCATTGGCCAAATATACTCTGATTTGAGAAAAAAAAGAGAAAAATATACGAATAAAGAATCACATTAAAGGTATAAATACAGTACCAAAACTTAATTTTTGTAATGCTACAGCAGTGCTATACACACTTCATTGGCCAAATATACTCTGATTTGAGAAAAAAAAGAGAAAAATATATGAATAAAGAATCACACAACAAATGAAAACTTTGTAATCCATGTTCTTTTCTTCTTCTTGTCTTCCCCTTCATAGATCCTCTCAATCCTGTCCACATATCAAAGACAAGACAAGAGCAAAACACATCATGTGAATCCCGGCAATTGAGAAGCAATGAGAAATCGGTGTGAGACAGGAATTATCACAGTCCTCATCAGACACAAGCAAACAGGTAAACACACACACACACACACACAAAAAGTACTGCTGAGCATCAATATAAGAAAATGACATGTATACACCACAAAAGACTGCCTCTTTTCTTTTTCCTACAACAACGCAAAAGAAAAAAACTTGGATAAAACTTGAGATCATGTTTGTATGTATGTATGTATGTGTGTATGTTGTGTTTGTCTGTGTTTATGATGATGTGTCTATATATTGTGGCAATATTGCACTCTCTTTCCCAGCAGTCCTAAAGCAGACCCAGGAAGGAAACCAGCCCCAGCAGGGATAAAAGTGTGCTGCTGTTCTTTTTTCCACAGGGATCCAAACAAAAGAAAGCTTTTTTTTTTGTCCTGCTGTTTACTATAAAAGCTTGGGGGGAAAAGGGACAAGGAAAAGCTGTAATTTCCATAAGCCCATCCTTCAGTTAAAAAAAAAAGTCTTTTCATCCCACCTATAAAAACAACCTCAATAAAGCAACTTCAGTTCACATCCATAAAAACAAACAAAAAAGATTCTGTTTGCTCCCATGTTCCCTTGATTAATTCAAGCATGCTGATGAGCAACCAATTTTCCATCTTCCAGCAAAGTCCTTTTTTGAAAACTACTCTTGAGCAGCAATAAGTGAGCAAAGAAAACAAAAACAACAACAATAACAACAAGACTCCATTCCAATAACTGAGAGAATATGATCTTGGGATCCCTCATCAAGTAATTATCATCATCATCAAGCAAAATTGACATCAGTTTAAAAGAAGAGGCTGTGTTTTCATGTGCTGTGTGTGTATGTATATGCATGTAATAATGTGTGAGTGTATCTCATCATCCATCATCACACCAAGTCCACCATCCTCTGATGATGATGATGATGATGATTATTATTATCCTGTCGCCTCAAGTCGCCGTAATGCACAGGCTCAAAACCAGCAGCATAGTAGAGCACAGAAGAGGCCGCCTCTTTGCCCTCAGGCGGCGCACGGCGGCTGCTGCTCGCTGCTGCTGAACTAGTGGCGCCCACGAGGACGCCACTCGCCTCAATGACTGTCACTACAGAGGCCTCGCTGGAACTGCGACATCCACGGTGTTGTTGTTGTTGTTGTTGTTGTTGTGGTATTGGCACGCCAATCGATGCGTCAGACGCTGTGTCGTGCGAGTAGTAGCCTGCATCTGAAGAGGACATGTTGCTGCTGCTGCTTGTTGTTGTGGTGTTTGCTGCTGTGGCCATGGGCAGCACTGGATGCTGATGCTGGTCCATCGTCAGCCGTGGTAATGTGTGAAACCTGCCAAAAATGTCACATTACAATCATTTATCATCATCATCATAAGGAGATATGAAAAACAAAATTTCAAAAAATTCAATAACTATATGCTAAATTGGCAAGCAAAAATAAGGTAGCAAATAGAGTCTGCATGTAAAAAAAAAAAAACTCAATTCATCAGCAGGCAGAAAAATAAAGTGAAAGTTACTCTTTTGACAGCCAGCTCTCAATAAGAGCATACTTCCTCATACAATTCATTTACAATCAAGGCCATATTAAAAAATTTCAACCTCATTTCAAACAAATCAGTCAACATATATGGGGATGCTCTATGACTATTGAATCAAAACACTTTCATGTTAAAAAATGTGCTAAATATATTTCCTGATGGGAGGTTTTCTGACTTCTTTTGTTCAAATGCTCTTTTGAGACTGTACCACTTTTCTTTTTCAAATTGCCATTTTCATCAATTGTTTTAAATACAATTTTGTGCTCCTTTCAAATATTATGTAACTTATGCTACACTCTGAGCTTTTGAGAGACATTACTTTTAATGCTGTCAAACAATAAGTGGCTTTTCTGGATTTTCTCCTGATAAACATGTCATAATAATAACTCACATTGAAGCTGCAGCAGCAGGAACCACACATGCAGACAAAGAGGAAGAAAAGTAAGTCTGCTGCTGTTGCTGCTGCTGTTGTTGCTGGAAGTGATGATGCCTGGCTATAGTAGCATAAGCAGGCAGCTGCTGTTGCTGGTAGTTGATGCTGGGGTCCAGCATGGCTGCAGGGTAACCAGTGTGCAGTACAGCACCAGCAGTCAATGGCTCCTGATGGTGATACAAGCTGGCCATCTTCCTCTGCAAACTGCCATCCAGCAGGTCCTTATTGTTACTGCTGGCAGTAGCACTACTCCATCCCTGCTGGTCCACAATATGGGCCAAGTCCAGTCCTGTCAGGGCCTTCGGCGCACGGCGGCTGCTGCTCGCTGCTGCTGAACTAGTGGCGCCCACGAGGACGCCACTCGCCTCAATGACTGTCACTACAGAGGCCTCGCTGGAACTGCGACATCCACGGTGTTGTTGTTGTTGTCGTTGTTGTTGTGGTATTGGCACGCCAATCGATGCGTCAGACGCTGTGTCGTGCGAGTAGTAGCCTGCATCTGAAGAGGACATGTTGCTGCTGCTGCTTGTTGTTGTGGTGTTTGCTACTGTGGCCATGGGCAGCACGGGATGCTGATGCTGGTCCATCGTCAGCCGTGGTAATGTGTGAAACCTGCCAAAAATGTCACATTACAATCATTCATCATCATCATCATCATAATGAGATATGAAAAACAAAATTTCAAAAAATTCAATAACTATATGCTAAATTGGCAAGCAAAAATAAGGCAGCAAATAGAGTCTGCATGTAAAAAAAAAAAAAAAAAATCAATTCATCAGCAGGCAGAAAAATAAAGTGAAAGTTACTCTTTTGACAGCCAGCTCTCAATAAGAGCATACTTCCTCATACAATTTATTTACAATCGAGGCCATATTAAAAAATTTCAACCTCATTTCAAACAAATCAGTCAACATATATGGGGATGCTCTATGACTATTGAATCAAAACACTTTCATGTTAATAAATGTGCTAAATATATCTAGACTATTTCCTGATGGGAGGTTTTCTGACACAACTGTCTTCTTTTGTTCAAATGCTCTTTTAAGACTGTACCAATTTTCCTATTCAAATTGCCATTTTCATCAATTGTTTTAAATACAATTTTGTGCTCCTTTCAAATATTATGTAATTTATGCTATACTCTGAGCTTTTGAGAGAAATAACCTTTAATGCTGTTGAACAATAAGTGGCTTTTCTGGATTTTCTCCTGATAAACATGTCATAATAATTACTCACATTGAAGCTGCAGCAGCAGGAACCACACATGCAGACAAGGATGAAGAAAAGTAAGTCTGCTGCTGTTGCTGCTGCTGCTGCTGCTGCTGCTGGAAGTGATGATGCCTGGCAATAGTAGCATAAGCAGGCAGCTGCTGTTGTTGTTGCTGCTGCTGCTGGTGGTAGTTGATGCTGGGGTCCAGCATGGCTGCAGGGTAACCAGTGTGCAGCACAGCACCAGCAGTCAATGGCTCCTGATGAACTATGTTCGACCGGTAGAAGGAGACGTTTGACGGTAGGTCGTCCAGGAATAACAATGACGACCGTCATCGTGATGAGGTAGGGACGACCAGGTGTTATACCCGGTTCAGGTCAGGACAGTCCCGGATGTACAAAAACAGGAAGCCCTCCTGCAGCAAAAGAAAAAAACAGGAATGAAGATCATGTCTTTCTCTCTCTCTCTCGCATAATTTTCTCCACTGCACCGAATAATGCGCGCAATTTCCGGTACCAAGAACTGCATAGTATATAACCCATCTTCAGCAGATATGCATATATTTATAATATATGCTGGAAAAACAGGAACCTGTACTGGACAGGGGGGGAATTTGAAAAAGAAAAAGAAAAAAAACACAGCGCATCATCACACCTGCTTCCTCCACACATTGGGCCTGGCCTGTTGGCACAAAGACGCCTGCAGAAACACGTCCAGGCGCTTGTCAGTCTGCATCTGCTCGCACAGGGCCATCAGGCAGCACAGAGTTGTCGCCTCCACTCCTCCAGCCCTGCAATAATACATGCAACAAACCAAAAATTATATCTCTGCTGATAAACAAACAATAAACAACACTTTCTCTCATCTCCTCTTATATATACAGTATAAATACACTGTGTATTGTATATACTCAGCAAGGAAAAGTGACCCATAAATCATCTCGCCCGAGTCCCTGTCCAAAGCGTTTTCCACCAGCCCCCAATTTTCCAAAGCTGGATATAGGAGGATATACAGAAACAACAAAACAAAACAAAAAGCTGCTGCATTTCCTGAGCACAGAAAAAAAACTCTTTCATCAGCAATAAAAGCTGCTCTCTATCTTTCTTAGGGTTTCTGTTTTTTTCCCCTTCTGTGGCACTTTGCCAAGTTCTCCTCCTATATAGCAGCAGCAGCAGAACCAGCAGCAGCAGCAGGACAAAATGCCTGAATCAATTACTCCTGATGAGGCTTCCTCACTTGAAGAAGCAGCTACTCTCCTTCTGTTTTTTGTTGTTGTTGTTGTTGTTGTTGCTTTCCTGATGATATGTTATACACAAAACTTTCCACTGCGCTGAGATTTTGCAGCAGTACAGATTTATTATTATTTTCTTGTGCATACATTAGGTGATTCATCACAAATCTCAGCATTTAATGGAACTGTCTGAATCAAGGCTGAGACAATAAACAAATGTATATTCCCATCTTTTTCTTTAAAAGTAAAAAATAAAAATACTGAATTCCCCAATAAAGGGGTCTCTGGTGTGGAGACTGAGAGGGGGATGGATTTGATTTGCTGTTACCCAGCATCCACCCACCCCATACTATTGCCAGCACTCTTGCCTCAAGTTGCCAGCACAGCACATTTCTCCTGAATTCAAAATATGCAAAAGTGGGGGGGGGGGGGCCCTCTCATTGCCCCCCTCACCTCAGAGCATGCAGCCCTCCATTCCAAGCAGCTTTTCCAAATACTAGAATGAAGGGAAGTTGGACACAAGAAAGATAGATACAGAGGGAGAGAGAAAGAGGGATTCATTACATCTAATTGTCATGCAAAGGAATCAGCATTTCCTTCTTGCCCCCCCCCCCCCCACTCCTTGCTTTTCATCTTCTGGTCCTGGCAGGAGCCACTCAATGAGCTAGACTCATGCATGCAAAAGGATCCTCCTCTTCTTCTTCTTCTTCTTCTAGGGGGGATCCCCTTATTCTTACCCCCTTTTTGGGTGAACAAACAGCCTCTAGGGCAGAATAATAAGGAGAATGGGAAGGAGATTGTGTGTATTACTTTATTGAGATTTGATCATCACATAAGGCAGCAAAATAACAAATCCAACAGGCAAACTATAATTTCAGAACTAAAAAAGGCAGATCACCAGCAGTATAAAGGGGAAATTTGGACCACCACAATTGGCACAACTAAAGAGTCACCCATAAACTAAAAACTTTTAATGCCGGGCGATTAAAATCAAAGCTTATATAGGAACAGAAACAACAAGAAGAAAAAAACCCACTTGTCAACCACAGCCCAGGGCTTTTGGCGTCCCGGTGGCAGCGATTCGCGCAGTTGCAGCAAATCCTTGACCAGCTGCAAACATGCTGGTGGCGGCTGTTGGCGGGCACGAGGCCAACCCGGGGCCAGCAACAGGGCCACCACGTCAGGGACAACGACGACGACGACGACGACGAGTAGTAGTAGTAGTAGTAGTAGTAGGTCACACTGAGAGTAGGCGTAAAGACCTGTGGGTCGACGTCAGGACAGTAGTCGGAGGTCAGAGTGGACCTCTCCATCTACATGCAGGCTCTCTGATGCCGTTTCTGGCCAGAAACAAGGGTATCTCTACAAAAAGGACAACAAAATCATCAATCTTCATCTCTCTTTTCCATTGAAAATAAAAATAGCTTCTTATTATACAGTATATATAATTGCAGCAGCACTATAAGAGCTGGCCAGGCATATATTGCTTGCAGCAGTGACAAAATTTGCATCTAATTTTCATATGCAAATTTGTTTCTTTATATGATTAAAAAAAGGATATAAATATTCTTCATGTATAATTCACTGTATATAGAAAAGTCCTATTCCAGGCCCAATCATCAACTGCCACTTTAATCTAGTTTCGAAGAATGAAACCATCTAGTTTCAAAAAACAAAAAACTAAATACTATGTATATAGCAATGTGTTACATTAATAGTCCAAGAAAGAGAGAGAGAGAGAGAGAGAAAAGGAGAAAAACACCTTTCTCCCTCAAAGAATGCAGCAGCCAGGATTAACTCACTTGGTAATCCGTGCTAGACAGCACAATCACAACAGGCACCCTGTGTTGCCACACCAGTCTCCAAAAGGCGCCAATGGTGTGTGGCAGCGGGTGTTGGGTAACTACAAACTCGTGGCTGCTGCTGAACCCTGATGCAATAATAATAATAATAATAATAAAATGAAATAAAGTTGTATAAATATACTATTATGCATAATGATAGTCTGTCACACCCGTGATGAAGCTGGCATTGACATAGTCATCATCCCCCTGGTGCTGGTGCTGGCCCCCGACGAGTCTCACCCTGCTGCACTCAGCAGGGAAGTGTTGCACTTCCCGGGTTCTGCTGCTGCTGCTGCTGCTGCTGCCACCCTGCTGATGATGCTCGCTCTCAACGGGCTGCTGCATTGATGGGATCCAGCACTGATCTGAAGCCTTGCTGCTGCTGCTGCTGCTGCTCATGTTGCTCAGCAGTTNTTTTGGCGTCCCGGTGGCAGCGATTCGCGCAGTTGCAGCAAATCCTTGACCAGCTGCAAACATGCTGGTGGCGGCTGTTGGCGGGCACGAGGCCAACCCGGGGCCAGCAACAGGGCCACCACGTGTCCCTGTTGCTGCTGCTGCTGCTGCTGCTCATCATCATCATCATCATCATCATCCAGTGTGACTCTCATCCGCATTTCTGGACACCCAGCTGCAGTCCTGTCATCAGCCTCCAGTCTCACCTGGAGACCATCTACATGCAGGCTCTCTGATGCCGTTTCTGGCCAGAAACAAGGGTATCTCTACAAAAAGGACAACAAAATCATCTATCTTCATCTCTCTTTTCCATTGAAAATAAAAATAGCTTCTTATTATACAGTATATATAATTGCAGCAGCACTATAAGAGCTGACCAGGCATATATTGCTTGCAGCAGTGACAAAATTTGCATCTAATTTTCATATGCAAATTTGTTTCTTTATATGATTAAAAAAAAGGATATAAATATTCTTCATTTATAATTCACTGTATATAGAAAAGTCCTATTCCAAGCCAAATCATCAACTGCCACTTTAAACAGTTTTGTTTTTTTATCTTTAAAATTTCCCTATATACTATAGTTTCAAAGAAAGAACAAAAAAACTAAATACTATGTATAGGAATGTGTTACATTAATAGTCCAAGAAAGAGAGAGAGAGAGAGAAAAGGAGAAAAACACCTTTCTCTCTCAAAGAATGCAGCAGCCAGGATTAACTCACTTGGTAATCCGTGCTAGACAGCACAATCACAACAGGCACCCTGTGTTGCCACACCAGTCTCCAAAAGGCGCCAATGGTGTGTGGCAGCGGGTGTTNACCTTTCTCCCTCAAAGAATGCAGCAGCCAGGATTAACTCACTTGGTAATCCGTGCTAGACAGCACAATCACAACAGGCACCCTGTGTTGCCACACCAGTCTCCAAAAGGCGCCAATGGTGTGTGGCAGCGGGTGTTGGGTAACTACAAACTCGTGGCTGCTGCTGAACCCTGATGCAATAATAATAATAATAATAATAAAATGAAATAAAGTTGTATAAATATACTATTATGCATAATGATAGTCTGTCACACCCCACTACTTCGACCGTAACTGTATCAGTAGTAGGGGGACCACGACCACGACCGGGGGCTGCTCAGAGTGGGACGACGTGAGTCGTCCCTTCACAACGTGAAGGGCCCAAGACGACGACGACGACGACGTGCTGCCACCCTGCTGATGATGCTCGCTCTCAACGGGCTGCTGCATTGATGGGATCCAGCACTGATCTGAAGCCTTGCTGCTGCTGCTGCTGCTGCTCATGTTGCTCAGCAGTTTCCACTGATTGACTATCAAGTGCTGCATCTGCGGGGAGCTATTTTCAGCAGAGAGAGAGAGAGAGAGAGAGAGAGAGAGAGAGAGAGAGACATTACAGATTGAGGCCACAGTATAGTGGACAAACAAGAAATACAGGATGTGTATAAATAAAGTATATAGGGTATGTGCTGAAATGCATATTTAAAAAAAATTAAATACTAAACTTTGTGATGAAGCTGGCATTGACATAGTCATCATCCCCCTGGTGCTGGTGCTGGCCCCCGACGAGTCTCACCCTGCTGCACTCAGCAGGGAAGTGTTGCACTTCCCGGGTTCTGCTGCTGCTGCTGCTGCCACCCTGCTGATGATGCTCGCTCTCAACGGGCTGCTGCATTGATGGGATCCAGCACTGATCTGAAGCCTTGCTGCTGCTGCTGCTGCTCATGTTGCTCAGCAGTTTCCACTGATTGACTATCAAGTGCTGCATCTGCGGGGAGCTATTTTCAGCAGAGAGAGAGACATTACAGATTGAGGCCACAGTATAGTGGACAAACAAGAAATACAGGATGTGTATAAATAAAGTATATAGGGTATGTGCTGAAATGCATATTTAAAAAAAATTAAATACTAAACTTTACATACTGTATCATCATCAATTCAAGCATATTCATCAATTGCTGCAGCATTCTGTATACAGCACATGGAAAATTTGAGTTGAAGAAAATAATGGGTATATATGATATGATTTCAGTAATTTTTATGCAACAACAAATTCAAGTCAACTAATATATGGTCCAACTATATTAGCACGGATGAGGGCCAAGAGCAGCATTTTTTGCTAAATGTCGTTATAATTTTTAAAATTTTTACAAAAAGACTTTACAGTCAACTTAAACAGGTGGTACGTAGAAAACAACTATAACAGACATTGAAGTCGTTACCCAAAGGTGCCAACTTTTTTTTTCAATATTTTGAAAATTAGAATAGTGACATCTATGAAACATATAAGCAACTTAATCTCAAAAGGGACAAGTGAGATTTTTACGACAGGAATTGATAAAGTCTGGTTTAATGTAATAGTAAATCCACACTAACAAAATGTATGATTATCTATATACTTATATAGTCATTGCAATTAATGAACTCAATTTTACAAGTCAATTGAGCACTACAATGATATCATAAACAACAATTGGCACCAATCTGCTTATAATTGTACAAGCAGCAACTCGTCTAAATTGTTGACAAGCAAGGAAAATCACATCATAAGGGCTGCACACATTCCTCAGTAATTTTTTATGTCACTGTATATAGCTCTCTTTTAACAATACAAAATTCAACTCAACTTAATTGACACAGCCTAAATAAAATATTCAACTATTGTAGAATGTTTCTTTTGAGAAGCATATTTGAATTGATTTATTCATATACAGTACTGTACAAAAATACACATTGTCTCCCCTGCATGATGCCAATAAAAAATAATAATATGAGAGTCTCTTCATCATCATCATCATCATCATCACCAAGGCAAACAAAAGATAATAATTAATTTAAAAAAAAGATGGGGTATATACACTTTTATAGTCAAAAATATATGAAATATATTGCAGCAGCACTCACTTGATGTGGCTGGCCACCTGGGCAGTGGTGGCAGCAGGCATGTCTGTGTCCCCAGCCAAACAGGCAGTCAACACAGAGTCGTGAATGAAGGCGTACTGTTCCGGGGTCTGCACCAGCCAGGCTCGCTGCTTCCGCATCCGCTGCAGCACCCCCGCTGCCCCCACTTTCCGCGTGGCCTCCAGCTGGCCCAGCAGGGTGTGCACTGCCATGTAAGCCCCCGTACGTCCCACACCGGCACTAAATATACACCAGTAGTTAACACACCATTATAACAAAAAAATTATCCTTGTGTATGAGAGGAAGGAAAACAACAAGAAAAAAAGGTTGTGCTCATGTAACACAATATATAAAAAAAACTTGAATACTGTATTCAAGTTTTCTTGATTTCCATATATGAAATAGGGCGGCCGGCCACTCACAATGACATGCATAATCAATCAGCAGACAACCAAACAAAATCATGCTGTAATATCCTAAGCATAATATCATACTATCAGTCATGAATGTAATCTATACCTTTTGCAAGACTGATGGTTATAGGAAAGTGAAGGATCATAATTGAGCAATTAATTTGCTGGCAGCTGTGAGGAATATTCCAAAAGTATTCCATGAACAACTTTAAATGGTTTATTTCCATATGAAATGGAATTATCTTCTCAATAAGTTGATCAATATCATCACCAGTTTTCAACCATTATTTTATTATTTTATTAGCAGCATTGCTGGTGAGACTAAAGAACAATCACACCCAATCTTCTAGCCAATATTTCCATCCACTCTGTCCAAGCTTTTCAAGTATTATCCATTTTTGTTTAAATCAATTCAATCTTTGTTGGGAGCAGTATTCCCCAAACTACTGTATATCCATAGTTGTATAGATAACAAAATTCAAGAAACACCTCAACAGTGGTTGAACTGAAAATCTAAATTTATTTTTTCCCCAAGTCAAGAATATACCTACACATTTTAATCATACAGCTTGTGGCCCCTTTTCAGGTAACTTGGAATGAAAAATATATATAATACAGTGGCCCCCGCCTAGCAGACCTCCAGTGTAAGGGATTTTTGCCAAACAGACCAGCTCTGCAAGCAGTTTTTCCTTCCGCCCAACAGACAACATCCGCCAAACAGACTTCTTTTTTTCCCTCTTGAGCAGTGGTAGAGAACTGCAGTCAACCCCTGTCTAATGGACTTGATTCGTGCAAGGGACGAGTCTGTTAGACGAAAAGTCCTTTATAATTGAAATTTTTAATTTTTTATGTAATTGAATTTGTGTAAAGGACTTTTCGTCTAACAGACTCGTCCCTTGCACGAATCAAGTCCATTAGACAGGGGTTGACTGCAGTTCTCTACCACTGCTCAAGAGGGAAAAAAAGAAGTCTCACCTGCAGTGGACGACAATTGGTCCAGCTGGCCCACTGGCCCCCTGGGGAAAGTTGCTCCTTGAAGACCGTCGCACAAAGTGCAACAAGGCAGCTGGGGAAGGTGGGGTGGCATGATCAGGCCAGGCAGTAAAGTGCCACTGCAAAACCTCTCTGGATTTTCCTCCAGATCCACATTTGCTCATCTGCAAAAAATAAAACAGGTTCCTTTCAACACCCTGAACATCATCCAAGCAAAAAAGGATGAGGAGTTTTACACTTTAATTTCATGTGGTCATCTTTGAAGTCTCCATTGATGAAAATTACACTCTTTGAGAAAGAAAAAAAAAGAGACACAAACATAGGATGAAAACTCTTTAGTTTACATAGGCCCTCTTTCAACTCATCTAAGCAAGCTACATATATAAAACTAGACTCTCTTTCAACATCCCATCTTTTTTTTTTTTAATGAAGATGAGGAAGATGAAAAATTTTCTTCCCTTCTTTTGAAACTGATTAAATCCTGACCATCATTCTGGATGTAATAATGTGAAAGCCTTTGATGGGAATATCATATATAGGATGAGGATTATTAGAGATAGAGAAAAAAAGAGGAGATTGAAAAGGTCTCTGAAGAAGAAGAAGAAGATGATGATGATGTTGCAGTATATATAGTCGCCATCACCTTGCTCGCCTTGAGCTTCTTGATGAGAAACTTGCGAAGAGTGTAGGTGGCCCTTTGGACTTCAACCACGGCCCTGACCAGGACATTGCCATACACCTCTTCTCCAGATGATGGCCAGTACTGTTCACACTTGCTCTGCAAACAAACAAGAAAAGAAAAACAGAGTCATCAGCATCACTGCTCCATCAGGGGTTTCTCACTCTGAAACCTTCAACTTTAGGCCACATGCTGTCCTTCACCTGTTCTTCCTCATCACTACAGAATTCCCCGCGGTCCAGAAGCTGATCCCAAACCAAGCAGCACCAGAGGAAAATAAGACGGATAAGGATGCATTAAGATTATTCAAGGCAGGAAGGCAATTTTTCAGAGTGCTCCTCTTTCCCCATCTATCTATACATATATATATATAAAGGCTGAAACACCGGTGTTCCAAAACCCTCGTTTGCTATTTTATTCATTCATTTTTATACCAAAAAGCAGCAGCAGCAGCAGCATCCAGCCTGTGTGTGATGGACATTTCGTGCAAACAAGACCCGACATCTTGAATTGCCCACTCTACAGTACACTCACTCACTCAAGATGGGAATGATAAGACTCACCCTGCCTTGCTCCACCAGGTTGGTGATCATGACCACGGTGGACACCCTGTGTTGCCACAGCATGCGCCAAAAGGACGCAGTGGTGTTTTTAAGGGGGCCCTGGGTGGCAATGTACGCCCTCTGACGGCACCAGCCGTCAACAAAGTTGGCATTGATGTAGTCCCCACTGTTGTGGCTGGGGGATGATGAGGTTGAGGATGACAGGGCAACTATGCTGTGGTCATCTGCATGAACATCAACATGATTTATTGGTCAATAAAGTGAAAACTCAACATTGAAGCATTATTGATATACATACAGAGACACTTATTAATGAAAGTCTATGTTTCAGATAAAATTTGTTTGGATTTTAAAGTCTCTTCTCCCCTTGTATGTTTTTTGAGAGGGTCCTGAAATCCAAATATACAAGTTTTGACACCATTTTCATCATTTGAAGCATACATTTTTATTGTTGCGGATGATAAACAGAGATAAATATGGTGTACAGTCAGAAATAAGTGAGACTAGGGCTTTTAGTATTTTTTCACCTCAGTTGGACAATAAAAAAATGTTCCAAATATTTAAATATGGTCATCTCAAGATTTTTTAAAATAAAGAGTAAACATTCTCAACCAAGAGTTCAAGACCCAAGAGCAAGTTCCTGATAAAGTGCTCAGCAAGGTTTGATTTCCTTCAACCAATTTCAATTGCCTACTGGTAAAGTTTGAAAAATAATTTGGGATTTGCTTGTGATTGTGATTAAATTGTTGAGGGTTTCAAAGAATCTCTGAGTTCTTGAGGGAAATGTGTGATGTATATAGTATGGCATTAAGCAAATTGAATGACAACATTCTCTGTTGACACTTTTAGTGATGCTGAGTATAATTTTCTCATCATCCAACATCAAAATTCATGCAATTTGAATAAATATAGTTTGCTTCACAGAAGCGCTTCAGCATATATATATATCAGATCTCAAACACAATAGCATGTGAAAAATTAAGATACAATAAATTTGAAGCTGTCCAATGAGAGACAACTCAAATAGCTCCCAAAACCATTGCTTGGATATCAGCATTAAAAGGTAACCAATAAAAAATATCCTCATTCTCAACCAGATAACTTTAAGATGAAACTAAAAATGAGACCACAGCATATCTAATTCCTGCTCTATGACAGACAGCCATTATATTTAATTCTGATAAGCAACATTCGTGTTTCTAAAATGAAACTGTTGCATGAATATTGAGGTGACATCTAACCCCAGTGATATGAAATAAAATTACACCGTCATTTCAAAATAAGGGGGAACATACAGTACTATACTAAGGTACTGAAGAGTACTGTATAGGGATAATATGTATGAATAGCACAACTAGATAATTGATGTCTGTCTCACATGGCAAGATGTTGTGGTATCTATTCCTGTCCCTATTGGCAGGCCTCTGGGCCAGGTTGTAGGTGGTGCCATCAGCAACAGCAGCATCGGCAGCAGCATCCTGCAATGCTGCAAATTCTGTGCAAAAGCCTGCGTCACAGTCGGCATGCATGCGGGCCACATGCGCGGGGAACAGTGCTGCTGGAATCGCCCGCCAGTCGGCGCTGTCGTCATTGCTGTCCTCATGCGTCATGGCTGCTGCCACCACATTCTCCTTCCCACCGCCATTTGCGGGTGCTGGTGAACCGTGTGCTGCTGCCACGTTTTTCCTGAATATCACATGAAAATCCCAAAAAATACACATTTACAGTACTGTACTGTATTTTGGGACTTGCAAAGCTTAACTGTCCACTGTAGTGCAACCTTATCTTAGAGAGAGTATAGATGTCACTGCTGCTCATCAACACAGTATCTCAAATTTACATTAACTCATCAAAAAGGACATGTTTGCCTCTGATTCAGTTCCGCATGGAAGCTTGAAAAAATATATACTCAAGCTAAAATTTTCCCACAAACTATCCAAAATTCACCCAATAAAATTCAAAACAGAAATTCTTGCCAAACATTTAAAACAAAAAGATGAAACAGTGACATCCCCACTACCACATCATTTCATTTATTTCTAAACAAAAAGGAAAAATGCTGGTCAGTAAATGCACAACACAATTTATTCACTTATATATATCCAGAACTAATTTTTTTTTATCAAATCCTTGGAATAAACAGCAAGTGAGGATTAAAATATCAATCACGCAACACCTAAGAAGTGATAAATTTGACATATTTTTGAGGGAAATGATGCTTCAGATATCACACAATTACATCAAAGGAGATCATACACAATTGAACCATATTTGTGTGATTATAAAATTTATTTCTGACCCTTTCTCTATATATTACTGTATAACCAAAACACTTGATTTATATAGTGATTCAAAAGCAGGAAATTTTATTTCTAGTAAAAAAATTAAAGGTCACCTCCAAAGCAGGAGGCCACATGTGGCCAAAAGCACAGCAAGGCCTCCACAAGTCACCACAGCTGCCAAAAGGACAGTTGGACGCAACACCTTTTCTCCCAAACTCGAAGAAGAAGAAGACGACGACGAAGACGTCCAAGAAGCTCTGCAACGTCAAAACATGAAAAGAGATGTCGCTCTCAGCAGTAAAAACCCCTCAGCCGAAATTTCCATCTAAAAAAAGGGGGGGGGGGCAGGACCAGCAGTGATTTAACTTACATCGTTAGCTGTCACTGCTCACAGAAAGAGCAGAGACTTATCCGGGGGAGCATGTGGTTCAGGAACACCTTGTACGAAGAACGAGACCGGACTTAAGCGTGGAGTATGTGTGGCGGTAGGCAGTTTAAGCCCAGCAACAACTATATACATTCACGGCCAAATGAAAAATGACACAAACAATAATATTAAAAAAAAATATATATATATATATAAACGAAACCTGCTGATACTGGACGTCCATATATAATAATGCCCCAAACATATTCTTTATTGCAGGCAGATGTCACTGGCAGTCACCAAGGATGCATATCAAATTTTAACTTGAGTATAGCAGCCAATCCATTTGACTCAACTGATGCACCAAAATTGACAAAAAATTGTCTGGAAAACTTGATTTGAGGTCATGATTTAAAAAATGAAATAATTATACATATTACATTACTGTCAATATTTCAAAATCCCCCTCCTTTTCATAAATTTATTCCCAGAAAGAATTCGGAAAAATTGGCACAATTATTTGATATTAAAAAGCAGTCTTTATTTACATTGAAATTGGCTCACATTTTCTTTCCTCGTATGCAGGATTTTTATTATCTTTTTTTCCTTATTTCCACATGCAATTTGAAAATTTAATGTGCATTTCAATTTTGTTGCTGTTTCCCATACATCAGGAGCCCCATGTTTTGCTGAATTTCGCTCAATCCATGAGCACACACGTCACACGAAAAAAAGAAAAAAAAGTTTGCTCACGGAATGCGCAGGCTGGTCCAGTGACGAGGCCACAACAATTTCATGATCAGCAGCAGCAGCAGTGGCAGACAAAGACGAGCGTGTTGACAACAATTGATCCTCAACTCGATGATGATCATTGTCGTCATCATCATCATCGTCATCATCATGGTGGACGACCAAATCGCGGTAGAAGACGTGGTAGGCGTCCAGACTGCCGTGGACGTGTGCAGGTCGCAGCCAGCGAAGCAAGACCGACCTCGGCGGCACGCAGGACGCGTTGGCCAGCACCGGCGGACCTGGCCCACCTACATCCGTGTGCACGGCCAGGGGGGCCGACGCCTGGCCCTCGTGGTTCCGCGTGAAGGCCTTCACCCACACCTCGTACCGACTGTACGGCTCTGTGTGTGCATACAGTATATACAGTACAAACACACATGTGAAAAAAACTATATTTTTTTTTTACACTATATTCCTACATGTCTCTGATTATCTTGTTTCCAATTTTATAACGTAGGTGTCGCTCGCATTTTGTCTGTTGCACAGCATATAATGGTGATGATGAGGCAGTCTGCTATCAACAGGTGGTTTTGCATGATGTTGCACAAAAATCAGCAGTGCTGAAGGATAATTTATCCAGAAATTTCAAATTGATATTGCCAATGCAGAGAAAGCAACCAAAATCCACAAATATTAATGAATGTGCTTTTTCCTCATTTTAAGAAAATTTTAGCATGGAGGAAAATGTACAGGGATGATTTTTGAGTCATTTTTTTTCAGGTGCTTCCATTCAGGGCAAGAATGGCTTCAAGTTATTAAAGATAACACTTGTATTTTCAGACTTGTCATCAAAATTTTTTCTGTCATTCCTTTTTTATAGCAGACAATGCTTGAAGCAGTTGCATGTTTCCCTAATTTCTTGTTTCCAAATTACACAGCTTTTACTGGAACAAGGTCTGATCCAGGTCTGACCAGTCTTGCCCAATCTTGGACCTCAAAGTTTATATGAAGCTATCATTGGCCTTTAGCTATACATGTGATCATTGCTCTCTCCTTGTTTATTGACTGAAGTCAAAGTACGCCATTGTTCTAACCTTGTTAATATGAGAATAAACAATTACATTCTTTTATAAGAAACTTGTTGAGGAGTACAGTATTCACTTGAAAAAAAACCAGCAATAAAGAATAAAAATCTCTTCATTGAATAAGTTTTCAGGCCTATAGATTAACAATGCAATACAATGGTAGAGTATTATAAGGTACTCAGGATATGTCTTGAATCCTTGAAATTTTCTGAAGATCTAATTCAAGTCTGATAACAGACTAACAAAGCATTATTCTATTGAATGTATTTTATACATAAGATTTCACCAAAAAATATACATTCTGGTATATTTGATCCACAATGTATGTAGAATTGAGTATTGTGAAGTACTTTTCTTTTTTTGCAAACTGCAACATCACAAAAGTACAAAAGCTGAAAACAAACATTTGTGCTGAAGCAACAATTTGATTCCATGGAATGCACGCTAAAATTTTTCATGAGCTCAATAAAAACGTAATTCTATGTAAACCTATGACTATTTTTTATTTTACACTCATATTTTTTGGGGGATTTTCAGGGGATAAACAATTTGCTGAAGAAATTTGTGCCAGAATTTCGCATGACAATATTTGGGCAGCTTAGACTGATTGATCTTCCACTTATTTCACTGATTGATTAGGAAAATATATTTCTCGTTAATCTGCCGGTGACGACACCTGTCAGAAATTGCGGGAAACATCCTCGAGCATAAAAGTGAATAAAAAAAAACTTTCCGATTTATCTACACTTTTCGTGACTCGCTCGAAATGTCGTCAATGTGTTGCAACACAATTGAATCTGCCCAACTTTTTCCAACGGGACTTTTTTTTATTTATTCATCATCGCGAATGTTTCGGAAGTGCAGACACATCATTTGCTCAAACTTCAAATTGCTTATTGTCTTGTTTATATATACAATACACTACTGCACTCGTCGCAGCCAGTAAAAATCAATCAAAGTCGGATACGTGGAGTGAAAAGTTTTTGTGACAGTTGGATCGAATCAAGTTTCGATNTTTCAGGTGCTTCCATTCAGGGCAAAAATGGCTTCAAGTTTTTAAAGATAACACTTGTATTTTCAGACTTGTCATCAAAATTTTTTCTGTCATTCCTTTTTTATAGCAGACAATGCTTGAAGCAGTTGCATGTTTCCCTAATTTCTTGTTTCCAAATTACACAGCTTTTACTGGAACAAGGTCAGATCCAGGTCTGACCAGTCTTGCCCAATCTTGGACCTCAAAGTTTATATGAAGCTATCATTGGCCTTTAGCTATACATGTGATCATTGCTCTCTCCTTGTTTATTGACTGAAGTCAAAGTACGCCATTGTTCTAACCTTGTTAATATGAGAATAAACAATTACATTCTTTTATAAGAAACTTGTTGAGGAGTACAGTATTCACTTGAAAAAAAACCAGCAATAAAGAATAAAAATCTCTTCATTGAATAAGTTTTCAGGCCTATAGATTAATAATACAATACAATGGTAGAGTATTAAGGTACTCAGGATATGTCTTGATTCCTTTATATTTTTTTGAAGATCTAATTCAAGTCTGAGAACAGAGCGATAAAGCATTAACTTCATTAAATGCATTTTATACATAAGATTCACCAAAAGAAAAAATAGATTCTGGTATATTTGATGCATAATGTATGTAGAATTGAGTTTTGTGAAGCACTTTTTTTTCAAACTGCAACATAACAAAAGTAAAACATCTGAAAACTAACATTTGTGCTGAAGCAACGATTTGATTCCATGGAATGCACGCTAAAATTTTTCATGAGCTCAATGAAAATGTAATTGAATGTAAATCAATGACTTTTTTATTTTACAAACATATTTTTTTGGATTTTCAAGGGATAAACAATTTGCTGAAGAAATTTGTGCCAGAATTTCACATGATAATATATGGGCAGCTTAGACTGATTGATCTTCCAGTTATTTCACTGATGGATAAGGAAAATACATTTCTCAGTTACTGTATTCTGCTGATGGTGACGACACCTGTCAGAAATTGCGGGAAACATCCTCGAGCATAAAAGTGAATATTTTTTTTTGAAAGGCTAAATAGATGTGAAAAGCACTGAGCGAGCTTTACAGCAGTTACACAACGTTGTGTTAACTTAGACGGGTTGAAAAAGGTTGCCCTGAAAAAAAATAAATAAGTAGTAGCGCAATGTTTCGGAAGTGCAGACACATCATTTGCTCAAACTTCAAATTGCTTATTGTCTTGTTTATATATACAATACACTACTGCACTCGTCGCAGCCAGTAAAAATCAATCAAAGTCGGATACGTGGAGTGAAAAGTTTTTGTGACAGTTGGATCGAATCAAGTTTCGATATATAAATATAGTTTTCTAAATTTTTCAAAAAGTTCGACGAGCGAGAGTGACATGAATTCATCAATCGTCTCGATCGAGTATTATTTCCCGCAAAATCGACTCGGAAAAGCACGCATATATTGCATGCATTCATGAATCATCATGGGCGGGTATCATTAATCTTCATGAATTAATCGAAAGCAATTAACCGAAATTACACGCCTTTCCACGTCATTCAAACATGAAAAGCGGCCACTTCAATTAGGCTTAATTGGATTAATGGAGGACATTTCCAAAAAACAGGGGCTCATTAAGTGAAGCACTTCGCATCAGGTCACCTTCACAAATCAAAGTACCTTTTTTTTTGACGTCAAATGGAAACACATTTCAATCGTAAAAAAGTCTTATGTTCAAAAGACTCTCTTTTTTTTTTGAAGGTACGGGAACTGAATATATTTTTTTACAATTAAAATGAGAATGAACTCCTCAAATCCGCTACGAAATGTGCAATAAAAAGGGGGGCAATGCACTTTTCAATCAGCACAGACTATTCATATTAATTATTATTCGAATAAGCTTGGATTGCATGCATATTGTGAAATTGAATCTAAACTAATTCATGCGTGAACGTCTAAAATCATTATTTGAACGTGTATTGATTCCTCGGTTAATTTATCATACAGAGGTCTGCAAAATTAGCATCTCATGCATCATAAATTATTACTTCTATACTTCTTAGGAGGAAAAAACCGCATAAAGTCGTATAAGTTTTAACTTATTTAAAGAAAGCTTGGATAGAACTTTATTTGAGCTGAAATAGTCTTGCTTATTTCAATACGATGTTCTAACTAGTAGCCGAGGCTTTGAACAATTAAAATGCATGTGACAAAAAAATTTTAAAAATCACACAATTCGTTATCATTATTGTTGAAATCATTTAAAAAATATATACGTAAGACAAATGTCTTTTTGTATACTCATGGACCACAAAAAAAAACAGTAAAATTCAGGCATTTTCTTTTTTGTCTTGATTTATCATCCCATCTCAAGAAAAACAATTAAAAATGTTAAAATATGGTAAACTCACTGAGATTGGTGAGGAGGAAGGTGACGACGTCAGAAGAAGAAGAAGACGAAGAAGAAGAAGAAGAAGAGGAAGACGAAGACGTGGACGGGGATGAAACGGCGACGGTTCGGACGTCCGTGAAGTTGTTGGCGCCGTGGAGCGAGAGGAAGTAGACGCGGTAGCCGTCGAGGACGCCGTTGGGGCGCCGTGGCGGCGTCCATCGCAACTCGGCGTCAGAGTCGCCCACTCGTCCCACCGTCACATTCTCGGGTGGACTCGGCACTGGATTTGGGAATCATAATATTCACCAGTATAATAAGAGTCGAATCATTTACAGTATATATACTCGAAGAAAACAAAAATTGAATTTATTATTTAAAAAGAAAAAAAGGATCGAGCGTAATTGAAAATTAAATTGCACATACGTGAATGAGTGAGAGCAAGAGGAAAATGAAAAATGAAATGGCAAGAGTACTATTAAAAATAAAAGGAATACATGGAAGTAAAAAAGAAAAATCATTTCTGCTGGTAAAAAGAAACATTGGCGAATTATAATAACAGCATTCCTCTTTCTCTCTCTCTCTCCATCTCTCAATATACACACTATATTCAATGGAGGAAGTAGGCAGTACTGGTCCTGAAACCGTCCACCTGGGTGCGGTTGTCCCAAAGCCCGGGCTTCACAGTGGTGCATGACTCAGGTCCCGACGTTAAGGCAGTCTCAGTAAAGGACGTTTAAAACACACACACACAAATAAAAAAATAAAACCAAGGACCAAAGAAGCCCATTCCATTCCATTCTAATCAAGAATCACGCAATAATCCATTAATCAATAATCCACGTCGTCCAAGAGAATCAATTCAGTCCCTTTTCGCAAAAATTCTCTATCAAATGACAGCAGTCAAATATTCGCCAGATTTTATGCATATCTGCTAACGATTTATTCTTGCATTGAATCAGAAAAGAAACAAGACGCTCACTTTCTTGTTTAATTTTTGCTGATACACAACAATATTCAACATTTCATAAATCTTCAACAAAACTATTTTACGAAATGATGAGACAATTAAATGGCCCGCAAATTCCAAATCTTTTATCCAATGTTGAATAAGGAAATCGAGGGGAAATTCAGCACATTTAATCAACCTAAAAACATTTTGAAACATTTTTCATATTCGGAAAAATAATTAAATCACACCAGCAGCAGTAAAAAAAAAATTGTCCCTTGATTATGCTTCCAGATTCTAATAATATTAGTGAACAAGACTTACGCGTTATTTTTTTAACATCCAATTTTTCACCTGATACCCGAAAGAAAAACAGAGAACCGACACTCGGGCATTCATTAATCAACCAATTAGCAGAATAATCAATAATGGAAGCCTGCATAAATTATTATAGCGTCATGTCACATAAATATAGTCATTCGAGATGTAAAATGTAAATAAATATACCTATAACCCTCACTCTGTATGAGTGACTGGAGCAAACAATCAAATACCCAATCAATCAATCAATCAATCAACCAATCAAATCCTCAAAAAGAAAAAAAAAAGCCGCCATATATGTGTCAACCATCAGTTCATCGAGGATAGCAGCAACGAACCCCTTATTGATACACGCAATTAATGTTTGCCTCCCGTGTTTTTCAGGCCGGTTTTTGGCACGAATTATTGCACACTTTCACGTGAGACACGAGCTAGTATACGTACTGCTGGTAGCTGTCACGAATTATGGACAGGAAGCACACATTAAAAAAAACACAAAAGAACCCTGTTGAACCACCTCAAATGCGGATTGAAGGCGTTCCTATAATTCCATTTCTCTAGATCATTTACACCCGCTTCAACTCAGGATTCCTATACGCACGGAACTCACGGCATGTTCGTGAATCATGCAATTAGGAGA